CCTTGGGCCTTCTTTTGGATGTTCTGGGTCTCTCTGACCCAGCTGCAGTTTGTTAGGTAATTTTAGATTGCAAAGGGCCAGGCCATTCATATGCAAAAGCCTCTGGGCACAGCTTGGGTGGGGCGGGGACTCAGGGAATCAACAGGGCGGAGCAAACAGCTATGGCTGATCCTCAGCCCTGCCTTAAGAGGCCCTGGATCTCAGTGTCCCGAGGTAATCACTGCAAGCACCTCTGACTGAAAGCCGCCCTTGAGTTCTGACCGATGCCAGACAGTCCAGTTTCTCCCCGTATGAGTCTGAGTTCCCAGAGACTTGCCTGGAACTGGAGTTCAGAGCATTCGGGAGCTTGTGACTCCCTCCTGATTGAAAAAGACAACTGCGTCCTCAGTTGCCAGCCCTTTCTGCGTGTGCCTCTGTACCTCTGCACTTTACTTCCGTTCCTCCTCTGAGTCTCAGTGTGCTTTTCTCTTTCCTTCTAGTTGTAGACTTTCCACTCAGCCAGCCTTCCTGTGGTTCTGGATGATGTCCGTTTTGTCTTTTAGTTGTATTTTTGAAGTGGTTGTGCGAGGCAGCAATTTCAGGTGTTTACCTATGCCGCCATCTTGGTTTCTCCAAAGCTGTATTTTTTTCTGCATTTCTCTTAAATGATACCTGGGATGCCCTGATCCCCCAAAACAGCGAAACCAGCTGTCCTGACCTGAAGGGCACGAGAGGGAATAACATTTTGTCAACACACAGGACAAAGGATGTCAGCAGACAGAGAGGGCTCAGGGAAAAGGCTGCCACCTATTGCACACTTCCAATGTAGCCATAATTCTGCACAGACAGCCATTGTCCTGACAGGTCATTTGCACGCCCTTTGCTGTTTTCCCAGGAGGCTATTCCTCACTGGACGGACCTGAGGCGCTGTCAGGGCAGTCAACGCACCAACACCTGGACAGCTCCCCCCACAGGCTCTCCCGCCAAGGCTTCACCTGCACGATGTTCCCGCAGTTGCCTTTGGTGTTGTTGATCTGAAAGGAGATGAAGTCTTCCCCTTCGATGCCCGTGCACTGCCTGTCATTGACCCTCACGCCCTCTCTCTCGAAGCCGAGCTGGAAGAGTTTGCACTTGGAGATGGACACCTCCATCTGGGACGCCTTGCAGGTCACCTCCGCATCGATGATGTCGTGGGAGTCTGTGGGAAACAGGACGATGACAGTCAAGAGAGTGGGCGCTGGTCTTGCCACAGCCAAGACGGCATCCATGGCCGTTTCCTGTAGAAATGGCTGCTAATCTGCAGGAAGTCTATGGCATTTCTAACTGAGATTTGCTCAATCCAAAGGAGTCTATGAGCTCATTCAGAGCAACAACTGGGACCTTGAAGAGTCTTTTTTAAAAGAAGAAAATACTAATGAAGTGTCTTTTCTTCCTAAACCCAGGACTCCCCCACTTGTGTAGTAACTGCTTTTCTGCAGGCTCCAACCTGCCTCTGGCTCAGGGAGGCCTGGCTGAAGGACCCACCGAGCAGGACAGCACTGGCCAGGCCGCCCCAACCCAGTGCATCCCCAGCTGAGCACCAGGAGTTCTGGATACTGACACAAGGATGTGCCGCTGCCGTTCCCAGTGAGCAAGCAGCTATGGAGACCAGTTTCTGTCTGTGCAGGGCCAGCGTGGGCAGCCCAGCCGCCTCCTCCTGGGGAGCCTTGGCCTCAGGCTCCGCAGTCTGAGTGTAGCTTAGCCGGTGCTGCCCAGTTCTGGGCTCAGGCGGGGCGGGGCGGGCTGAGGTGTGTGTGCTCCCACCCAGGACTCTGTGGAGCAGGACTTGGCGTCTTACTTGGTTACTGTTCACTTCACACATTCCAGCTGTTTCCTGGGGACCCACCTGAACCTGGTGACAGAGCTGCCTTAAGATGAGCGCTCAAGCGCTCAAGCGCCCGCACTCGCCCTGATTCTCACATTTCTGTCAGACCACGCCTGGCCTGTCTGTCTTCCAGATCCTCCCGGATCCCTGATGCTGAAGGTGCTGCCAATGCAATGGCTGATTCACTCACACACGTTTCTGTTAGGATTTACTAGCGGCCCAGTGGCTCCGCTGGCCGCAGCTGGCCGCCCACCCACCCCAGCGAGACCCTCTGCTCCTTTGGTCCTGATGCCCTAAGGACCCACAGGCTTTTTATGATGTAGATGCAGGAAAGGGTGCGGCCAGGAAGCCAGCATCGCTTACTGCCCAGGTTGGGTTGCTTCCCTGTGGATGACCTGGTTTGAAAGCTTTGCTGTTGGTTTCTAACCCACAGTGAGGAGGCAGCTGCAGTCCTAGAGCTTTGCTATGGGGTTGCAGGCCCTTCCCACTGGGCCCGTCTGGGGGCGGGGGTGGCAGGTGTCACTTACAGTTCCCAAAGGGGGGAACAGGTGTCACTCAGTGTTCACGTGGGGGGGGCAGGTGTCACTCACTATCACTCATAGGCAGGAGGGGCAGGTGTCACTCAGTGTTCACGTGGGGGGCAGGTGTCACTCACTGTTCACGTGGGGGGGCAGGTGTCACTCACTGTTCACGTGGGGGGGCAGGTGTCACTCACTGTTCACGTGGGGGGGCAGGTGTCACTCACTGTTCACGTGGGGGGGCAGGTGTCACTCACTGTTCACGTGGGGGGGCAGGTGTCACTCACTGTTCACGTGGGGGGGCAGGTGTCACTCACTGTTCACGTGGGGGGGCAGGTGTCACTCACTGTTCACGTGGGGGGGCAGGTGTCACTCACTGTTCACGTGGGGGGGCAGGTGTCACTCACTGTTCACGTGGGGGGGCAGGTGTCACTCACTGTTCACGTGGGGGGGGGCAGGTGTCACTCACTGTTCCCGTAGGGGGGAGGCTCGATGCAGCCGCACAGCTCCCCACCGTTGTCCAGCTCACAGGTCCGGTTGGGACAGTCAGCCCCCACGCAGGGATCGTCCACCACTCCTGCTAAAAGGGAGAACAGGAACGCGCACACTTGACTTCCACACCAACAAGCAGGTGCCGTGTTCACTCTGGACTTGCACGGCATGGAACTGTGATGGTCAGACAGCAGCCATGGATGAACACACAGTGCAACCTTCCAGAAAAGAACGAGTGCAGCTAGCAACGGGGCCTGGCTCGGCCGGACATGGGGCTGCGTGTGGCAGTGGCATGACCTCCTCCATCCCTCACAAGTGCTCTTCGAGCTACACACTGCCACCCCGCTTCACACTGAAGCTTGCCCAGGGCTCCCGCAGTGGAGCTGTGTGTGAGGATACAGCCCAGACAATCTCTGCCAAGACACGCCCGAGTGCGACCTGGCCACGCTGCCTGTCACGTGCATTTGCTCTTTATGAATCCCTCATCGCTATATCCCCAGCACCCAGTCACCCCCTAGCCGGCACTCAACAAATATGTGTCAAGAAAGACAGTTTTAGGGTCAGTGAGTTCCCTTAAACCACCTCCCCCATGAGCTTCTACTTAATTGTATAAAAATAGATAAACCAAAAACCTACACACAACTCACAAGCATTGACTCACGGTACTATTTTGCCCAAAGGGTAAAACTATAAGTAAAATGTCAACGTATGTGGACTGTCACCATCATCCACGATGAACAATGTTTTGGTAGCCAAGGAGCCCACAGACCACCTTCAAGATCATCAGCAACTTAGTGAAACCATCGATTGAGATCATTGTCTTTGAGACACTCCTGTCTTTGGTTAAAGCATCTCTCTCCCTATCAGATGTCATAATTCTCCTGTACTTCCTGGCGAATAAGGGTGAGAGCTGAAGACACAGCTGTTCCATCCCTCCAGAGTCTAATAATGAAACGAAGGGGCGGAGCTGCCGAAGCTGCAGGTAAGTGTGACCAGGTGCCACGCTCCCTGCGAGTAACCAAGGGTGAGGCCGGGGCGTGCAGAGATGGTCACCCCACCTGCCTGGGTGCCTGGCGCAAGACTGGAGGCAGCTGTCAGCATCACTCGAGGACATTTATTGAATGAACACAGCCCGGAGCATAAACGAGAGGAGTTGAGGCTACAGCCACAGGAAGGAAACATCTCCCTGGCAATACGGAGGCCCACCTGCCAATGGCAACTCAGACATGCCCTTATAAAGAGGGGGCTTTTGAGGTTAAAAACAAAAACTAATGTGTGTGTTTTTTAATTCAATAATTTTAAATGTTTAACACAGTTAATTTTAAAGTTAATTAAAGGATTGCTTGTTAACACGACATATTAAAATTACCAAACAAAGCATTTCTGTCGATTTCCCAAAGAGACTGGTAATTCTAAGAGAATCTGAAATCACTGAATGCATATTGTAATTAGCTACTTTATTTTAGGTTTGGAACAAACTGTGTTCTGACACTTGGTCAGGTTTAATCTTTCTGTCTTGATACGTGTGCAGTGTCTTTGAGTGACACTTTTCCTGGCGCCATGTGCACACCAGGGGGGAGTGCATGTCAGGCAACACCACACCTCCTGCTGCACGTGTGTCTCACCACATCATGGGATGGAGTGGCCACTTGTGTAAAGGGTCACACATATATGCATATGACAAGTTTGTATATGTTTATATATATATTCGCTCCATTTGATTAACATGGTAAGAAAATGAACAGATAGAATAATGGATATCTATAATAAAAGCATAATATGCTAATTAGACTGGGCAGCCAAACGACCTTCCGGACATCCTTCTGGACGAAGCCATCACGACAGGGGCTGAAGCAGAGGCAGTTAGGGGTGATCAGGCAGGCAGGTGAGCAGTTAGGGGCAATCAGGCAAGCAGGTGAATGGTAGGGGCAATCAGGCAGGCAGGCAAGCAGTTAGGGGCAATTGGGCAAGCAGGCAAGCTGTTAGGGGCGATCAGGCAGGCAGGCGAGCAGTTAGGGGTGATCAGGCAGGCAGGCAAGTGGTTAGGGGAGATGAGGCAGGCAGGCAGGTGAGCAGTTAGGAACCAGTGGTCCCAGATTGCAAGAGGGATGTCTGACTGCCGGTTTAGGCCCAATCCCTGCGGGCAGGATCGAGCCTAAACCAGCAATCGGACATCCCCCGAGGGGGTCCCAGATTGCGAGAGGGTAAAGGCCAGGCTGAGGGACCCCCCAACTCCCATGCATGAATTTCATGCACTGGGCTTCTAGTATCTATACTAATAAAAGGATAATATGCTAATTAGAGCAGACGTCTTCCGGACATCCATCTGGACAAAGCCACAGCGGCTGTGAGGGCCTAGAGCAGTGATGGCGAACCTATGACACGCGTGTCAGAGGTGACACGCGAACTCATTTTTTTGGTTGATTTTTCTTTGTTAAATGGCATTTAAATATATAAAATAAATATCAAAAATATAAGTCTTTGTTTTACTATGGTTGCAAATATCAAAAAATTTCTATATGTGACACAGCACCAGAGTTAAGTTAGGGTTTTTCAAAATGCTGACACACCAAGCTCAAAAGGTTCACCATCACTGGCCTAGGGCCTGCAGTGGAGTGGCCCCGCCGCCAAGGGAGTGGGAGCGGAGGGGGAGGTACTGCCTCTGCTCTGCCGTGGGAGTGGCAGAGGGTGGGTGCAAGGACGATGATCTTTGCATCAACTGCTACAACACAAAAGGCCACACCCACAGATGGTGAAGGTGGGGCTGGGCTTGGATGAAGAGGCCCATGAGGGCGGCAGCCAGGGTGAGCCGCAGTTCAGGAGCCTCCAGGAGTGGCGGCGCCAGGCCATCCAGCGCTGCCTCCAGTCCCTGAGGCAGGCCCCAGTGCCGTGAAGCCAACTGCCCACAGCCGTCCTGCCAGAAGATGAGGTGGGTTGTGCAGCACACCAAGGGCTGCCAGCACAAGACCAATGGAGGTTGCAGAGTGTGCAAGCAGTTCATGGCCCTTTGCTGCTACCATGCCAACACTGCAAAAAACACATGCCCCATTCCCTACTGCCTCAACATCAAGCAGAAGCTCAGCCAGCAGAAGCTACAGCACCGCCGGCAGCACGCGTAGCTCATGTGCCAGCGGACGCCACCATCAACACCCGCACTGTGCCTCAGCCGAGTCTTCCTTCCCCTCCTTCAGCACCACCCCGGCCTGTTGGAGACCGGGTGTAAGCTGACATGGTCCTTGCACCTGAAGGGGCTAGCAAGGCTGGGACCCTTACCCACACAGTTTTCCCAGACTTGTTTGGATGGCGGTTATCAGTAGAATGAGAGTAACCTTTGTAGAATGAGAACAGCCTTTCATGGCTTACCAAGAAGTCTGTAACTATTTACTGAGATTTGCTGTACCGAGAATTTGTCCTTCTGGGCTGTCTCTCCCTTAGAGATTAAGAGCAACAAAGAATACATTCCTCTTGACAGACCTCCTATTCAGTGTTTTGTGTATAAAAGGCATTGCGTGGTTAATAAACTTACTGCAGTTCCTTGATTGAGCTGTAGTCCTCCCGATCCCACTCTCCTGTCTTTCTTTCTTTTCTCAATTCCCACCTCCCTACCTCAGCCTGGTTCAACCCATCAGGCTGGCCCTGACACTGGCCCCCCACACTGCATCCCAGCACACCCTGGACACCACAGCCCCCGACTCTGCCCCAGACCTCACCTGTGAGCATGTCACTAGCCAGCTTCTCCAGTGTGGCTAGAATACAGCCCCCCACCACAGTTTGCACTGGGAAGCCCACTAACCAGGTGCCAGCCCCACCACCCACCACCCAGGCCCACCTGCAGCAGTGGAGGTGCCCGGCAGATTGCACGTGAGGCACAGCAGCAGCAGCATCTGTACTGGGTGAGCACCAACAACGGTATGCCCCTGAGGCACAGTGACCCCCAAGAGCCAGATGGCCCCCATGGGCCTGAATGTGACCCAACCAGTTCAGTGGGCCTGTTATTCTGCCCCCTGAGCCCCGGCAGTGGCAGCTGGCACCCATCCCCCAGCAACAGTCAATGTGAGGCATGCCCAGACCCATGATGTCTATGCAGACCCAAGGTGCAGCCACCTCAGAACATCTCTCCAGGTGCCCTGAAGGACCTGCTGCGGACCCTGAAGTCTCCCAGCTCCCCCAGCAGCAGCACGTGCTCAACATCCTCAAGTCAAACCCTCAGCTGATGGCAGCTCTCATCAAATAGCACACGGCCAAGTAAGTGGCCAGCCAGCCTGGCCTTCAGCTCTAGCCCAGCCTGCTGAACCTGAACACCATGCAAGCCAGCGGGGCACGACCTGCTGTCCCTCCACAGCAGCAAGCAATGGGAGGCCTGAACCCCCAGGGCCAGTCCTTGAACATCATGAACCCAGGGTGCAACCCCAGTGTGGCGAGTATGAGCCACAGCACAGAGAGATGCCACAGAGCAACAGCAGCAGCAGCAGCAGCAGCAGCAACAGATAGGCAGCGCTGGCCTGGCTGCAGGTTTGGCAGGACACGCCCAGTTCCAGCAGCCTCAGGGATGTTGACACTACCCACAGCTATGATGCAGCAGCGGATCCAGCAGCAGATTGGGTCCCAGGCCAGCCAAACCCTGTAGGCATACTCTGTACCTTTCCCCTGCCCTCAGTTTCTCCCCTGCGCTCAGCACTTTTCTATTGTCCCTGTTTGAGGCTCCTGCCCTCTCTGCTGTTTTCCTGTTATTTTCATCTCAGGTGTCATAAGAGAAGCTAAGCAGCTGAGAAAAGCAACGCTAGACCCAGCTTCCTGAAACCGCCTGCACCTACATCCGGCCCACACAGAGACATAAATATCCTGCCCTCCCTACTCTTGCTTGCTGAAATGGATACACTGCTGTGTATTAAAATAAAATTTATAAAACTCTCACAACGTCTCTTGGCCTATCTCCTGTCAGCATGGACCTAACAAACCCCACGAACCCCAGCAGCACATGTTCTCAGAGAGCCACGGGCCTCACCTCTCTGGCCAGCAGATGGCCATATCCCTCAGTATCCAGGTGAGATCTCTGGCCCCTGCCCAGTCTTCAGACCCCAGTCCCAGCCTCCACATGCCAGCCCATCACCACAGATATGCCCCAGCCTTCACCACACCATGTCTCCTCCAAGATTGGTTCTCCCCACCCAGGCGTCCCAGTCACCATGGCCAGCTCCATAGATCAGGGACACTTGGGGAACCCCAAATATGCAATGCTACCACAGCTAAATACCCCCACAGGAGTGCATTGCCAGTGAGCTGTCCCTGGTTGGTGACATCACAGTAGATACCCTAGAAATGTTGTGGGAGCGGGAGCAGAGGTGGCGCCGCCTCAGGAGAGGCCTCAGTGCAGGCCCTTCTGCAGAGGCAGCGGGAGAGGGGGCTGCATGGTTCCAGTCCCAGTGCTGCCCATTCTGCAGAGGCAGCCACAGTGTCAGTGGCGTGGGCCAATCCAGGCACCATGCCTCCGCAGAGGCTGGATGGGGTGCAACCTGCTGTGCCTCAACCTCCTCCAGCCCCTCCCCCAGCCAGCCTGGCCCCAGATCACCCCCCACCCACCAGTGGGCAGGGGGCGGGGCCAGCGCTAAGAAATGCAGGCCGAGGGCTGGCAGCCGCAGCAGCCAGCAGTGGCAGCAGCAGCGGGGTGATGGGGGCAGCGCCTTCCCATGATCGCCTGGTCACCTCCTGCAGAGGGAGGCCAGACTGTGGCTTAGGAGCGGGCCTTAGCTGTCAGTAGGACATCCCCTGAGGGCTCCTGGGCTGTGAGAGGGGGCAGGCCGGGCTGAGGGACCCCACCCAGTGCACAAATTTTTGTGCACCGGGCCTCTAGTATCAAATAATGTTCTTACTACAGAAAATATACAAGAATCCATAGATCTTTATCACTAATTATATATATACTGGAGGCCCAGTGCCTGAAATTTGTGCACAGGGGGTCCCCTCAGCCCAGCTTGCACCCTCTCCAATTTGGGACCCCTCGGGGGATGTCCGACTGCAGGTTTAGGCCTAAGCCAGCAGTTGGACATCCCTCTCACAATCCTGGACTGCGGGCTCCTAATTGCTCACCTGCCTGCTTGCCTGGTCATCCCTAACTGCCCCCTACTGCTGGCCAGGTCTCCCCCAAATGCCCCTTCACTGCTGGTCTGGTTGCTCCTTATTGCCACCACCCCCCACCAGCCTGGTCTCCCCTAACTTCCCTCAATCAACCTGGTTGCCTCTTACTGTCCCCCCTGCCAGCCTGTCATCCCCATCGGCCCCCCTCTGCTGGCCTGGTTGCCCCTAACTGCCCCCCCACCGGCCTGGTTGCCCCTCATGGCCCTCCCACCTGCCCCCCCTGGCCGGCCTGGTTGCCCCTCACAGCCCCCCCGCTGGCCTGGTCCCCACACAGCCTGCTGTTAAGTTGTTTGGTTGTCCCTCACTAACTCCCCTGCTGGCCTGGTCACCCCACGCAGCCTGCTGTTCAGTCGTTTGGTCATCCCTCACTAACCCCTCTGCCGGCCTGGTCACAGGCAGCCATCTTGTGAGGGCGTGAGGGTTAATTTGCATATTACCTCTTTGTTATATAGGACTAGTGGCTTGGTGCACGGACTTTTGCACATTGAAAGAAAATTAATTAGAAGAAATATTTTAATATTGCTATTCACCCTTTCTCTATAATAGAAGTGCCAACCAAATTCACTATCAACAATGACAGATTGAAACATACACATGCGATTGGCGCCAGTGAGAGCTTTATATGTATCGCGCATGCGCGAGTCAACTTAGCCTTTTATATATATAAAATAAACTTGCTTAGTTAGACCTGCTTTCTGATTTAGCTAATCTTTTTCCAGCCCAGTGAAATACCCCAACTTCTCTTTCAGGTAATTGTCAACAACACAGCAGTAAATATCAACATGAAGCAGATTATTATTGTAGATCATGCAGGAAGAACAAAGAGTAAAATATTTAACTGCAGCAGTGTTCTGCACAGTGAGAAAACTTGAAGTCATTTTCAAGGTCCACCATTTCTTACTTCTTTTCTGTTGGGTCAAGTTTCTAAGCTTTCTAAATCTCCATTTTCCTGCTAATGAAAAGAAAATAGGATTCCATCGAGTCTCCTATCTACCTACTCCAGGACTTCTGTGAGGATCAAATGAGATGAGGCACATGAAAACACTTCACAGACATTTGGTTACAGTGTGAAATGTTTGCACCTCGCTATAAAGCAAGTTGTATTCCTGGGCTGAAGAAACTCCAAGGAGGCTCATTGCTAGGGAGAGGAAGCCAGGCATTGCTATGTGACGCCATTACCTGACACCCACAGCCACCGTTTCTGGGCTGGGCTGTGGGCCACATTTTGTGCCATGGCAGTGTCAGCTGCGATTTGGTGGGCTGTCGCTCCAGGGTGGTGGCAGGGCCTCTGTCCCACCTGGGGGAAGCCGAGTGTTGCTTTGTCGACGCCAGTTCTACGGTGCCGTTTCTCTGTAAATGGCCAGTGCCTGTCATGGCAGTTCCTGCGTTGAGCGTCTGCCCCCTGGTGATCAGTGTGCGTCATAGCGACCAGTTGGATGGGCGGAGGGACACTTAACGTATTAGCCTTTGGTTATATATAGCTATTTTATCCTATATAATAAAACGCTATTATGCAAATCGACCAAACGCTGGAACGACCTGTCGCTATGATGTGCACTGACCACTAAGGGGCAGACACTCAATGCAGAAGCCGGCCTCATGGCTGGTGAGCGCAGCAGTGGTGGTGGGAACCACAGGCCTGGCTGAGGGACCCCGCCCCACCCCCCCGCCAGTGCATGAATGTCATGCACCGGGCCTCTAGTATATAGATAAAATCCCTTTATAATTCTAACCACAGCTTCCTTTCAACCCAGGCAGACACGGCCAGCGCCATTCTAATTCAGCTTGCCGTTAGCCACTCACATTGCCTCTCTGATTCAGGCTCTGGCCATGTGAAAGGAGTGGCATGGAGCTGAGTTTGGGTGCCATGTGTACTCTGTCTCTCCACTTCACAAGTCACTACACGGTGCTCATCCCACCCTGAGCCTCATCCCTCCTCCCCGCCAACCCTGAGCTCCGGGCAGGAGCTGGCTTCAGCCACCTTTCCAACCCCGGAGGCGGGTCTGAGACCAGCCAGCCAAAGGGGCAGAGCCATGCCACCAGTAATGCTGTTCTTCCTTAACTTAGAAAACAAAACAGTTCTCTTACAGCAATTCTCCTTCTCGATCCACTCGGTGCTGAGGATCCCCAAGGAGCGGCAGGACTCCCCATAGGCGGCCAGCGAGCCGCACAGCTGCAGCTTCCGGTGGTTGTAGCAGCCGTCCAGGTAGCAGGACTCGTAGAAGGGCAGCGGGTCGAGCAGCCCGTAGCAGGGCTGGAAGAAGCCCTTCATGTCCGTGAGCTTCAGGCAGTAGCCCTCACCCTGCAGCCTCTGGATGTGCACGTTGTCGCAGGCGGCCGCGTACTGCGAGAACTGCAGCTCGTTGCAGCTGCAGGCGAGGGGGCGGGTCAGAGGGGGAAGGAAAGCAGCCCCTGGGCTCTCTGGGGGCGGGAGGCCCTGTCTGCTACGTCCTCTGCGGACCCAGAAGCCAACGCACCACACTGATCCCAACACCGACCGTCTTGGGACCTCAGAAACGCGGGTCATTTCTAAGTTAATGTCGCTGGGATAAGTGAGCATAAAACCAAACTGAATTGGTAGCCAAGGACCAGACAAAAGGGAGATCCTGACATATTAACCTTTGATATAACTGACTGGTAGAATTGATACAATAACCATAAACAAGTACTGATATAACAGATAGCAATAATAATAATGACTACTATACCCGAAAGGCTCACAAGGGGTTTGAAGCTTTATGTCCACATCCGGGTATTAGCTGGTGTCTGGTGTGTTAAAGCCATGGTGCGATGCCAGCTAAGAGAAGTGTGTCTACAGATCCAGACTAATTTAGCAGCCCAGAGGGTCCCAAATTAAACCCCATTGAGATAATGCGTAGAGCTCGTTCGAAGTTGGACAGTTAGGGCCTTGGTGACTTCTGTGTTTAAAGAAGCTGTCTTGACTCCTACCAACTTTACCTGCACAACCACACCCAAACCCTCCAGTAAGAGTCATAAGCACATGACTGGACCGGCACTGGGGAGCAAGCTGTGGCCCTTTTCTCCTGAGTTAACTCTGAATCCCCCCCCCCCCCCCCCGGGTGCTTTGTCCCAGCCGGGCCACTGGCCAAGGCTTCTAGTGTAAACCTGGGCAGACTCGGTGAAAATTCACAGTGGTACCACCTAACCCAGTTCCTTCCTCTGCCACACAAGACACTACTGAGGCCTCTGATGTGTCTCTTTGTATCATGAAAACTCCATAGACTTTGGCTCGCTCTATCCAGGAGAAGAAAGTGATGCTATGGAAAGAGCATTTTCCACGGCCGCCCCGTGGAAGGGGAGGGTGGGCCCGAGCGTGGCGGGCCTCTCACCTCTTCTGCATGCCGTTGGTTTTCCAGCTCTGGGCCAGCACCACACTGCTCACCACTGGCTTCCCCCGCAGGGTCACGTAGTCGTCAGTTAAGTCCCCATTGAAGTTGCCACAGAGGCCACACACTTTGTTCTGCAGCCTCTCGCTGATGCTGATTTTTATGACGTTGAAGCCGTTGTAGTATATCTGGATGTCGGGGCTGGTGTCAATCACCAGGAACCCTTCGCTGCTGTAGATTTTGGTTGCCAACCCAGTTATAAAAGGGACATTCACTTGTGTGCCGTTCACCTATGGAAGACAATAAAAGTAAATGATCCTTAGAGCAGAGGTCTGCAAGCATTGACTGTGACGGGCCAGAGTTAATATTTTATGATCTCTATTGCTACTCAACTCCAACCTCATGGCAGGAAAGCAGCCCATAGACAAGATGTCACTGAGGCTGTGTTCCAATAAAGTTTTACTTACAAACACAGGCAGCAAATAAATTTGGCTAAATCCTGTACTTTGCTGTCCCCTGTTCCAGAGTTCAAGGACACTCACTCATCTTACTGGCCACAGCTCCCCACAAAGAAGCAAAATATGAAAGCAGAGGTAAGAAAACATTAGAAAAATATAACCCACAGCCAATGGCTGGATTTCCCAAGCATAAACCAATGACTAGAAATGAAGTTCAATCCTGCACTGAGGAGTCTAACATGGCTAGCGTGAACCACAGGAGTGTTGCTATCTTTACTGTTTTCTTGCCTATAATGTTGACAGGAGTCCAGCCCAGAGAGCCTGTAGCATAGCATTTTCTGCATTCATCATTTTCCTGCTTTATAACAATGTCTTTTCTTAGCTCTTAGGATATAACATAACATGCTTTTCTTATACTTACAAAACAAATTGTATTTTTTTTTTCACCTGCAGGTTATTAGTAATTTTTATTTCTTAAAAAATCAGAAGCCTTTAAAAATATGATTATTTTCTATTTTTGTAGCTTGGGGTAGTTTATTCAGCAACAATGTCAGTTTTGCTGTGTTGGGGGCTATGTTCACTCTGGCTCCTGGATTCTGGACCAGTATCATTGTGTCTACGTGGGCCAATTTGCAAAAGGAACTGGGAGTTCAAAAAATAGTAGGAGCTTTCCCTGAAGTTAAAAACCAGCAGCAGAATGTAAACGCTTCCTTTAAGCTTGCAAAATACTGCCAGGCCTTTGCCTAATTCTGGATACTAAGCTACATGATGACTGTCCAAATAAAGATACACTCCCTTACCTAAGCCAATGATGGAAAGCAGATACGCACAATACTATTCAATTCCAAAAAATGCTCGTGTGTGTCCTGGCTCTATCCCTGCCTCCCTGGCTGTAACCAGAGCATCGCGGTCTGACGCTATCCTCAGGTCTACCTGTGGCGAGCAGCTGGTTTACCTGAGGCTGGGAGTCCCTGTCAATAGTTCTCTAGAGCAGGTTACCTTCTTAAATGGAAGGGGTGGGAGGAATCTGAGTGAGAGAGGCATGTTCGCTACAGGGTGGGCTGAGGTTCATGCATGCATTTATTTATTTTTCTATGTGTCTAAGATGCACAAGAAGCCAGGCAGCTGTCCCAGGGCAGCCAGCTGAGGACATCACCACCTTCGCCTGTTTGCCTCCCGCTGGCATGTCCTCCTGGGCCTGTCCTAGTGGGGGTGCTCCCTCCTTCAGGGTGTTGTTTAGCTACTTGTGTTTTTAGGTCAATGCTCGCCTTCTCTCCGCTTCTGGAAAAGATGGCAGAGATGGAAGAACATGTCTGCGTGTAGGTGGGCAGGGCCAGAATAATTGTAACGGCTCAAATGAGATGCTCACCGGGAATTAATCCAGAGAGAGCGGCGGCCTCTGCCACGTTATCACCCGAAGCTCCGTGGGCACCGGCATCATTACACCCGAGATCCTGTGCGTGCCCCGCAAGCCCCGGACTGTCAGCAAAGGGACAAAGGGGCCCGTTCCTATGCTCGTAGAACCTTTATACCGCCTGCTTTAAAATCTGGGGATCTGCCCTGGCTGGTTTGGCTCAGTGGATAGAGCGCCCGCCTGCGGACTGCAGGGCCCCAGGTTGGATTCTGGTCAGGGCACCTGCCGGGTTGCAGGTTCATCCCCAGTGGAGGTCGGGCAGGAGGCAGCCGATCAATGATTCTCTCTCATCACAGATGTTGTGCTCTCTCCCTCCCTCTTCCTTCCTCTCTGAAATCAACAAAAATACATTTAAAAATAAAATACAAATAAAACCTGATGGTGTGTGCGTGGTGCCTATGCAGCAGCAGCCTGTGACCCTCACATCTGGTCATCAGGAAAGCGCCTGCGCAGGCCCTGGCCAGGCCGCCTGCACGTTTCCTAGCACCAGGGCGGGCGGTCACCTTGACGGTGTTGCGGTCGCTGATGAGAATCTGCTCCTCGTTGATGTAGAAGTAGACGGGCGAGATGATGGTGAGGTTGGGGGACGACCACTTGTCGAAGTTGATGATGAGCTGGAAGGAGATGTCGGGCAGCTTCTGGCAGATGGTGGAGAGCACGAAGGCGCAGTTGGCGGGGAAGCGCAGGAAGGCGCCATCGAAGGTGCGGAAGACGCCCCCGCCAGCCGCCAGGCAGTAGGAGGTCCTGGTGCTGAAGCAGCCGCGCACCCCGTTGCGCAGCGCGCACTCCTCATCCGACTTGCACTGGCGCGGGTCGCACTGGATCAGGTTGCGCCGGAAGCAGCGGCAGCGCCGGGTGCAGTCGCTGTTCCAGAACAGCTGCTTGGGCTGCAAGAGAGGCACCTGCGTAAAACTCGGGCTGCGGGCGGGGTTGCCCCCTCCCCGCCCCCCCACGAAGCCCGGGCCATCTTTGAGGGCTGGGCTACCTTTCTTTAATGGAACTGATATTTGCAACAGGGAGCAGTAGGAAGGCTGCTTTCATTCAAATGCTACATCAGTTCCATGCAATTCAGATGCGAGACAATATGCAATTTAGCCTTTACTGGTTTCAGTCAAGAATTTGGCAGCTGTACAGCTGGGTTGTAGAATTACCCACAGCCAACCTGAATGTGCAGCTGTTAGGCTCTCAGATGGACTAGGTGAAAAGCAAATCTCTTTGGTAAAAAATTATTGTGGACCCATGGAAGCATGGAGAGAAGGTGGGGGAGGTTGGGTGGGAAGTAATCAACCAAGGACCTTGTATTCATATATGCATGGCCTATGGACACAGACAATGGGGCAGTGAGGGCCTGGGGCGGCCGGGCAGGAGAGGGTCAATGGAGGGGGGGGTGGAAGGGACATATGTAATACTTTCAACAATGAAGGATTATTTTTTAAAAATATTATTCTAACAAGTACTCCATTCCACTTCAAGGATGACATTTAAATTCATTCAAGAATAATAAACCAGCCCTTCAAATCCTAAATAGATAAAAAGAAGTGGTAGCCAACCCTTATGATGAACCATTTAACATTTCATAATACCCAACACTCCAGACTTTTTTCTTGTATCAAGGCCACTTCTTTTTATTTCTATTGCAAGTACCTCCATTTCTGTGTCATGAGTGAGAGATCTAAAAAACAGTGATGTTCCGTGAAAGGAAAGGTTTGGGATCAGGCCAACTGGATTCCACTCCAGCCTTGGCATGTATATGTGCCACCTTGAGCAGCACGACTCACCGCCCAGGCTGTCAGTTTGCTATCTCTAAATTAAAGATAATAACGTCTTGCAGGACACTCCTGATTTTGGTCCAGATGAAAGAGTAAGTAAATGCTGTGCTCACCATTTCCCATCAAAATTATATCTAAATTATAGAACAGCCATCTTTGAGATCCACTGTAGACTAGTGGGACAGGATCCTATAACTGAAAATATAAACAGAGCCATGTTGAGGTTGGAAGGAGGGGTAGGGATGTGAAATGGCTGGTCCCACACTGTGTGGTGGATAGGAATCCGCAGGGATATGTTGGCTGTGGAGGTCCCCCCTGAGGAGTGAGGGGTCCCAGCCCCCCAGGGGATTCTTCAGCCAGAGTACCAGTGCCAGGAAGAGTAGTCCCCACAATGCCTTTCTGTGAAAATCAGCTAAGACTCCTTCCCCCAAATAGATGCCAGGTATAGGCAGGCACCAAATCTGAGTCTCAATTAACCTGGCTAACATGGCTAGCTCACCACACCCTGGTAATTCCCTGGGACCCCAGCGGATGGCAAGGAGGCCCCAGAACCAACACACCCATGGCAGAACCAACTCAGACACTTTAGAGCAACACCCAAATAGCTCAACAAATGATATGCTCAAAGTGTGGACTTAATAGGAACCAGAACCCCACTAAGGTGAATTCCATACAATAGCTTGTCACAAGCCAGTCCTCACAGCAAGTCAGCCATAGGGTCAATCCCACCCAATGACAGGCCAACAGCAATCAAGGGTCAACAACAATAGGAGGGTACTTTCAATCCACACAAGGGACACCATGGAACACCCAGCTCAGGTGACCAGGGACTTGCACCATTGCGCCACACAAAAAAACCTACCTACTACATAAAAATGCTCTGCCAAAACTGGGAGATGAAGCAGATCTACCTGATATGTAGCTACACAGGGAGGTAGCCAAAATAAGGAGACACAGTAAATGTCCCAAATAAATGTCCCAAATAAAAGAACAGGACAAAACTCGCAACTAACCAGGTACAGAGTTCAAAACAATGGTTATAAGGATGCTCAATGAACTTAAGAAAAGAATAAATGAACTCAGTGAAACTCGTACTAGAAACCATAGGAAAAAAATATCAAAAATGAAGAATACAATAACAGAAATTAAGAATACATTAGATGGAATCAACAGCAGATTAGGTGAAGTGGAGGGCCAAATCAGTGATCTGGAAGACAAGCAAATAGAAAATAGTAGAACAGCAATTTGAAAAAAGAATTTTTAAAAAGTGAAGACAGTTTAAGGGACCACTAAGACAACATTGGAATCATAGAAGGTACCATAAAAGTCCAGAAATTGCAGGGAGTTCAAAACAAGATGAACCCAAAGAGGCCTACACCAAGAAACATATAATTAAAATGCCAAAGGTTAAAGACAAAGAGAGAATCTCTTAAAAGCAGCAAGAAAAAAAGCAGTTAGTTACCTACAAGAGAGTTCCCATAAGACTGCTGATTTCTCAACAAAAATGTTGCAGGCCATAAGGGATTGGTGCAAAATAGTCAATGTGCTGAAGCAGGACCTACAACCAAGATTATTCTACCTAGCAAGGCTATAGCTTAGAATTGATAAAGAGATAAAGAGCTTTCCAGACGAGAAAAAGCTAGAGGAGCTCATCACCACCAAACCAGTATTACAATAAATGTTAAAGGGACTTCTCGAAGGAGAAAAGATAAAAAATATGAATAAGAAAATAGTATAAAGAAAAAACTCTCACTTATAATGGTAAACACATAATAAAAACAGTGGATCAACCACTTATAAAGCTAGTATAGAAGGTAAAAGGCAAAACTAAGAAAATCATGTGTATTTACAACAGTAAATTTAAAGATACACACAAAAAAGAAATAATAATAATTACAAAAAATATAAACATGGAGGAGGTAAGTAAAAAGGGTAATAATTTCAGAATGTGTTCAAATGCAAGCAAACATTAGGTTAAAATAGATGGCTATAAACATAGCTTGGTATATAAAGCACAAGTAACCACAAACCAAAAATCTACAAGAGATATACAAGAAATAAAAAGAAAATAATCCAAACACAACACTACAGAAAATCATTAACATACAAAAGAAAAGAAACAGAGAACAACAGCAAAATCAGAAAATAATTAGTAAAATGGAAATAACTACAAGCAATCAATAATTACTTTAAATGAAAATGAACTAGAGGCAGATCTCTGGGTGCATAGCTTGGTTCTTTCCACATGCACCTAGGTCCAGCAGAGGAAGCCACAAGCTGTGGATGGCTGAAAGCTCCAAACAGGTTGTCCAGAGCCAGTCACAGACGGCATCTGATTTGGCCTGCAGCAGAGTCCCTCCAAATAGGCCCAGAACCAATCCACACAGAGGCAGCTTCAGACAACAGCAGAGCAGGGTCCAATAAGCTCCACAAGCAGCACAGCCACAGGGAGGTGTTGGCAGCACCATCGCTGCTGAGGTGAATCCAGTTGGTGTGATTGGCACCGCACAGCAGCCTGCACGCTGTGTTGGGGGTTGAGACTCACTGTCAGCGAGCCTGAAGGTGATCCCATGTACAAATGGGCCAGTAGCAATCAAGACTCAATTACAACAGGAGGACCCATGCAACATGCACAAGAAATATCATTAGAGCACCCAGGTCTGGTGATCAGGGAGGCTGTAACACTGGGCTCCACAGGTCACCTCCTATATAAAGCCACCATACCAAGACTGGGAGTCACAGAAGATTTACCCAATACTTACAAACAAAAATAAAGGGGAAGCCAAAATGGGGAGACAACAGGCCCCAAGAAGAGCTGAACAAAGTGGAGATAAGCAATTTATCAGATATAGAGTTCAGAGTAATTATTATAAGGATGCTTAACAGCATGAAAAAGGATTTAGAAACCATAAAAAATTCAGAAATGAAAAATGCCATATCCGAAATAAGGAATACACTGGAAGGAACAAACAGTAGCCTCAGTGAAGCAGAGGATCAAATCAGTGAGTGGAAGACAAGGTGGAAAAAAACACCCAATGAAAGCAGCAAAAACAAAACAAAAAAACCCCAAAATTTTTTTTAAAATGAGGATAATTTAAGGGACCTTTGGGACAACATGAAGTGTAACAACATCTATGTCATCACAGTCCCAGGAGAAGAGAGAGAGCAAAGGGTCCAGAAATTATTTAAAGAAATAATTACTGAAAACTTCCTTAACCTGGTGAAGAAAACACATACAAGTCCAAGAAGCACAGAGAGTCCCAAAAAAGATGGACCCAAAGAGGCCTATACCAAGACACATCATAATTAAAATAGAAAAAGTTAAAGACAAAGAGAGAATCTTAAAAGCTGTAAGGTAAAGGAAGTCGGTTACCTACAAGGGAACTTCCATAAAACTATCATCTGATTTCTCAACAGAAACATTTTAGACCAGAAGGGACCAGCATGATATATTCAAAGTGATGAAAAGCACGGACCTACAACCAATGCTACTTTACCCAGCAAAGCTATCATTTAAAAATGAAGGAGAAATAAAACCTTCCCAGACAAGAAAATGTAAAGGAGTTTGTGGCCACCAACGCAGGAGTCCAAGAAATTTTAACAGGTTTCAAGAAGAAGAAAGAGGATGAGGAAGAGGAAAACAGAGGAATGTAGTTTAAAAAAATGACAATAAATATGTTTCTATCAATATTCACTTTAAGTGTAAATGGCTTAAATGCTTCAAAGGACATAAGTTAGCTGTTGAATAAGAAAATAAGACCCATATATATGCTGTCTTCAAGAGACCCACAAGAGAGAGAGAGAGAGAGAGAGAGAGAGAGAGAGAGTCACACCTCAGAATGGAAGATACACACAGACTGAAAGTACAGAGATAGAAAAAGATATTTCATGTAAATGAAAAGGAAAAAGAAAGCTGGGGTAGCAATACTTATATCTGGCAAAATAGACTTTAAAACTAAGGTTCTAGTAAGAGACCAAGAAGGAAAGCACCATAACGATAAAGGGAGCCATGCAACAAGAGGATATAACCCTTGTAAACATGTATGCACCCAAAATAGGAGCACCTAAATATGTGAAGCAAATCTTGATGGACATAAGGGAGAGATTGACAGCGATATACTAATAACTAACAGTAGGGGGTTTTAACACCCTTTTGACATCAATGGATAATTCTTCCAGACAGAACATCAACAAGGAGATGGCAGCCTTAAATGAGACACTAGATTGAATGAATTTAATTTATATCTTCAAGCCATTTCACCCCAAAGCAGCAGAATATACACTCTTCTCAAGTGCACCTGGGACAATTTCTGATATAGACCACATGATAGACACAAAACAAGTCTCAATAAATTTAAGAAGATTGAAATCATATCAAGCATCTTCTCTGACCATAATGCTATGAAACTCAAAATCAATCACAAGAAGAAAACTGGAAAACACATAAAGACATGGAGGCTAAATAACATGTTACTAAACCAAGAGTGGGCTAACTATGAGATCAAGGAAGAAATCAGATGATACCTTGAGACAAATGAAAATGAAAACATAACAACCCCAAATCTGTGGGACACAACAAAAACAGTCCTAAGAAGGAAATTCATAGCATTATAGGCCTATCTCAAGAAACAAACAAACAAACAAAAAACTCAAATAAACAATGTCACTTTTACACTTAAGGGAACTTGAAGAACAACAGCAAACAAAGCCTAGAGTGAGTAGAAGGAAGGAAATAATAAATATCAAAGCAGAAATAAATGAAATAGAGTCTAAAAAAATATAAATGATCACTGAAACCAAGAGCTGGTTCTTTGAAAAGATAAACAAGATTGACAAACTTTTAACCAGACTCATCAAGAAAAAGAAAAATAAATAAAATCAGAAATGAAAGAGGAGAAATAACAACTGACACCAAAAATATGCAAAGGATTGTGAGAAAATACTGTGAACAACTATATGCCAACAGGTGATCAGGGTGAAATGGATAAATTCCTAGAAACATACAATCTTCCAAAACTAAATCAGGAAGAATCAGAAAATCTGAAGAGTCAGGTTACAACTAGTGAAAATGAAGCAGTAATAAAAAACTCCCAACAAACAAAAGTGCTGGGCTGGATGACTTTAAATGTGAATTTTATCAAACATTCAAAGAATTAAAACTGGTCTTTTTTGCGTTGGCTGGTGTGGCTCAATGGTTGGAGTGTCAGCTCATGGACCCAGGGGTCACTAGTTTGATTCCCAGTTAAGGGCATGTGCCTGGGTTGCAGGTTTGCTCCATGCCCCCAGTTGAGGTGCATGTGGGAGGCAACCGGTTGATGTGTGTGTGTGTCTTTCTCACATTGTTGTTTCTCTTTCTCTCCCTCTCCCTCTGAAAAGCAATGGGAAAAAAATCCTTAGGTGAGAATTAACACACACACACACACACACACACACACACACACACACACTATGCAAAAAAAAAAACCTATTCTCAAACTATTCCAAAAAATTCAAGAGTAGGCAATACTACAAAGCTCATTCTATGAAGCCAGCCTTATCCTAATTACAAGACTAGATAAAACATGACAAAGAAGAACATTGTAGGGCAATATTCCTGATGAGAATAGATGCTAAAATTCCAGGGATTCAAGTTTGTTAAAATATTCGCAAATCAAGATACCAATGGCATATTTCACAGAAGTAGAGCAAATATTCCAAAAATTTATATGGAACCCCAAAAGACCCCAAATAGCAACAGTGATCTTGAAAATGGAGAACAAAGTTGGAGGAAGGAATCATGCTGTCTTATCAAACAACACTACCAGGCCATAGTAAAAAAAGGGGCATGGTACTGGCATAAAAACAGACCTATTATTGATCAGTGGAAGAGTACAGAGATCCCAGAAATAACCCACAACTTTATCATCAATTAATACTTGACAAAGGAGACAAAATCATACAATGGGGTAAAAATAGTCTATTCAATAACTGGTGTTGGGAAAATTGGACATATATGTGCAAAAAAAAGAGGTTAGATAACTTTCTTACACCGCACACAAGAATAAACTAAAAATGGATTAAAGACTTAAATATTTGACTCAAAATTATAAAAATACTAAAAGAAAACATAGGCAGTAAAATTTCAGATATTTATAGTAGCAATATGTTTTTCTGATAAATCTCCTTGGGCAAAGGAAACAGAATAAAAATAAACAAACAGGACTACATCAAACTAAAGAGTTTTTGCACAGCAAAGGAAACCATCAACAAAATGAAAGGACAACCCACTGAATGAGAGAACATATTCGCCAATGATACATCCAATAAGGTGTTAATATCCAAAATTTATAAAGAATTTATAAAACTCAACACCAAAAAAAAATCCAATTAAAAAATGGGCAAAGGACCTGAATAGTCAGTCACTTCTCTAAACAGGGCAGACAGATGCCAATAGACCTATGAAAAGATGCTCAGTGTCATTAATCATAAGAGAGATGCAAATCAAAACCACAATGAGATAGCACCTCACACTGATCACAATGGCTGTCATCAATAAATCAACAAACAGCAAGTGTTGGTGAGGATGTGGAAAAAAGGGAACACTTGTGCACTGTGGATGAGAATGCAGACTGGTGCAGTATGGAGGTTCCTCAAAAAATATAAAAATGGGTCTGGCTGGTGTATCTCAGTGGGTTAGAGCACTGTCCCATGCACTGGAAGATCATGGGTTCAATGCCTGGTCAAGGCATGTACCTGGGTTGTAGATTTGACCTCTGGACCTGGTCAGGGTGTATGTGGGAGGCAACCAAACAATGTGTCTCATCTCTTTCAACTCTCTCTCTCTCTCTCTCTCTCTCTCTCTCTCTCTCTCTCTCTTTCTCCCCCTTCACCTCTCCCTCCCTCCCTTCTGCTCTCTCCAAAATCAATGAAAAAAAATATCCTCGGGTGAGGATAAAATAAAATTAAAAATGGAACTGCCTTATGACCCAGCAATTCCACTTCTGGGAATTTATCTGAAGAAACCCAAAACACTATTCAAAAGAATATAAGAATACATGCCCCCTATGTTCATTGCAGTGTTTACAGTAGCCAACATTTGGAAGCAGCCCAAGTGCCCATGAGTGGATAAAAGAGCTGTGGTGCATGTACACAATAGAATATTGCTTGGCCATAAAAAGAAGAACATTTTATCTTTTGTAACAGCATGGATAGGCCTGGAGAACATTGTGCTAAGTGAAATAAGCCAGTCAGAGAAAGACAAGTACCACATGATTTCAGTCATATGTGGAATTTAATAAACACACTGAACTAACCAGCAAAATAGAGACAAACTCATAGATGAAGAGCAGGCCAACAGCTCTGTTGGGGTGTGTGTGTTTGGTGGGTGGAGGGATTGAGAAGAGAGAGAGAGAGAGAGAGAGAGAGAGAGAGAGAGAGAACTCATAGATGTGGACAACAGTGTAGTGATTGCGGGGGAAGGGAGTGGTTGGAGGTGGTAGAAGGAATGGTGGGGGGGGGAGATAAGTGATGATGGAAAAATAGAATAAAGAGAAAAAATAAAAGGAATTCCTTTAAAAATTCTAAAAAAGAAAAAAAGAAGAAAAAATATGAACTAAACTAACTACTCCAATGAACTTAACTAACTGCTCCAATCAAAGACAAGAGGTGGCTGAATTGATAACAATACAAGACCCAAGTATATGCTATCTACATCTACCTACTTCAGACCAAAAAACACAAACAGCCTAAGGTAATGAGATGAAAAAAAATTTCATGCAAATGAAAATAAATCAAAACCTGGGATAGCAATACTTATATCAGACAAAATATACTTTATAGGGTGTAACAAGACAAAGGAAGACATTTATTAATTATAAAGGATCAATAAAACAAACATACAATTTTTGTAAACATTTACACACCCAGTGTAGATGTACAAAAATATATAAAGCAAATATTGATGGACATAAAGGGAGAGATCAACAATAGGAGACTTTAACACCCCATTGACATCAATGGATAGATCATCCAGACAGAAAATTGACAAGAAACCAGAGGCCTTAAATGACACATTAGACCAGATGGACTTAATTGAAATGTTTAGAACATTTCATCCCTACACAGTAGAATATACATTCTTTTCCAAGTGCACATGAAACATTTTCCAGAGAAGACCACATGTTAGGCTACATAAATAAATTTAAGAAGATTAAAATCATATCAAGCATTTTCTCTAACCACAGTTATATGAAAGTAGAAATCAATTAAAAGAAAAAAACTGATAAACACACAAACACGTGGACTCTAAATAACATGTTACTAAACCAGTGATGGCGAACCTTTTGAGCTCGGCGTGTCAGCATTTTGAAAAACCCTAACTTAACTCTGGTACGGTGTCACATATAGAAATTTTTTGATATTTGCAATCATAGTTAAACAAATATTTATATTTTTGATATTTATTTTATAAATTTAAATGCCATTTAACAAAGAAAAATCAACCAAAAAAATGAGTTCGCGTGTCACCTCTGACACACGTGTCATAGGTTCACCATCACTGTACTAAACCATGAATAGGTTAACAATGAGATCAGGGAAGAAATAAAAAGATACCTTGAGACAAATGAAAATGGAAACTCAACAACTCAAACTTTATGGGACAGAGTGAAAGCAATCCCAAGAGGGAAATTCAAGCATCGCAGGCCTACTTTAAGAAACAATAACATTTCAAATATAAAATCTAAACTTACACCAAAAGGAAATGGAGAAAGAACAACAAAGCCCACAGTGAGTTGAAGAAAAAAAAGTATAAAGACCAGAATGAAAATAAACAAAATAGTATAAAGAAACAATACAAAGGATCAGTGAAACCAAGAACTGATTCTTTGAAAAGATAAACAAAATTGATAAACCTTTAGCCAGACTTACCAAGAAAAAAGGAGAAAGGACCCAAATAAATAAAATCAGAAATAAAAGAGGAGAAATAACACTGACATAACAGAAATTCAAAGGATTGTAAGAAAATATCATGAAAAACAACATGTCAACAAATTAAACAATCTGGAAAAAATAGATAAATTCCTAAAAACATACAATCTTCCAAAACTGAATAAAGAAGAAAAAGGAAATCTGAACAGCACAAATACAACTAATGAAATCAAAGCAGTAAAACAGTAAATTAAAAACAACAACCCAAAAACAAAAAAACCTTTTCAAGAAAAAAAGTCCTGGACCAGGTGGCTTCATAGGTAAATTTTACCAAAGACTCAAAAAAGAACTTACACCCATCTTTCTCAAACTATTCAAAAATATTCAAGAGGGAAAACACCCAAGGTCATTGTATGAGGCCAGCATTATCTTAATTCTAAAACCAGATAAAGACACCACAAAAAAAGGAAATTACAGGCCAATATCCCCAAGGAACACACATGCAAAAATCCTCAACAAAATATTAGCACACCAAGTTCAGCAATACATTATAAAGATCATTTATTACTGGGATACAAGGTTGGCACAATATCCAAAAATTAATTCACGTGTTATATCTCATAAACAAAATGAAAGTTAAAAATCATATGATCATATCAATAGATGCAGAAAAAACATCAGATAAAACACAGCACCCATTTATTATAAAAATTCTCAAAGTGGAACTAAAGGAACTCAAAATAACAAAACCACAGCTAACATCGTACGCAACAGGAAAAGCAGTGTTTTACTTAAGATCAGGAAGGAGATCGTGTCCACTATGACCACTCTAGTTCAACATAGTTTCGGGAGTTCTAGTCACAACAATCAGATGAAGGAGAAGATGGAAGGCCTCCAAACTCGGAAGGAAGAAGTGAGACTGTGATTATTGCAGGGGACATGATACCGACATACAGAACCCTAAAGATCCCCCAAACTACTAGAAGTGAGAAATAAACTGAGTAGATTAGCAGGATATAAAATAAATATTCAGAAGTTGGCTGCATTTTAACATACCAATAATGAACTGTCAGAAAGGGAAGTTAAGTAAACAATCCCATTTACAATTGCACTAAAAATACCTGTGAATAAATTTAACCAAAGAGGTAAAGACCTGTCCTCAGAAAATGATGAGACACTGAAGAAAGAAACTGAAGAAGACCCAGATAAACGGGAGGATGTGCCATGCTCATGAATATGAAGAAATAACATCATTACAATATACATAGTACCTGAAGAAATCTATCAATTCAATGCAATTCCTATTTAATACAATGGCATCTTTCATAGAACTAGAACAAATAATTTTAAAATTTATATGAAACCACAAAATGAGGTCATTCCTGGACCCATGTCTTCCCTCCTTCCAGATCCGTAGAATATTCTAGGGGCCAGCTGCCTCCGATTGGCAGAATAACTGAGTGGATGGCCTGGGCTCTTTCTGATAAATAGTCAAACAGTGCATGCACGGAAAGAGAAAAATAACCTGCCGCATGTGGGTCTGATGAGGGGTAAGTACTCATCCACAGGAGAGTGAAGTGGAGACATGGCACCCCAGTACAGTGACCACCACGGCCTGCTCCTCAGCTCAATCAGACTCAGCTGCTGTGGCCAGGGGACCTCCCTCCATGCTAACGGCTGGCCATGCTCTCTCTCTTCATTTCCAAAGAAATCTGTGGAATCAACAAGTCTCCAAGTCTGTTTGAACTGAGACAAGTAAATGTGGATCATTTGTTTTGTGAGTTAGCAGATATAAGTTATTGTGGAAACTCACTAACTTCCTGATGAAAAGCAGTGACTACTGTTTATAGTACTAACTAGAGGCCTGGTGCACAAAATTCTGCACTGGGGCGGGGGGGGGGGTCCCCTCAGCCCAGCCTGCTCCCTCTTTCAGTCTGGGAGCCCTCACTCCTTACTGCCTGGCTCACTGCTCCTTAGCGCTGCCATGGAGGCAGGAGAGGCTCCGGCTACCTCTGCTGCGCTTGCCAGCTGTGAGCCTGGCTTCTGGCTGAGCTGTGCTCCCCCTGTGGGAGTGCACTGATCACCAGGGGGCAGCTCCTGCGTTGAGCGTCTGCCCCCTGGTGGTCAGTGAGCATCATAGTGACTGGTTGTTCTGCCATAATGGTCACTTAGGCTTTTATTATATAGACTAGAGGCCTGGTGCACAAAAATTTGTGCACTGGGGGGGGGGGGC